CTGTTGGGAGCTGCGGGGGGAAAGAACGGGGGGAAATGGGGAAAAACGGGGAAATAACGGGGGGAAAAGGGGAAAATGGGGAATAACTGGGGGGAAAAATGGGGGAAAATGGGGAAATAACGGGAAAAACCGGGGGAAACGGGGGAAAAGGGGAAATAACGGGGGGAAAATGGGGAAAAACGGGAAAATAATGGGGGAAAAAGCGGAAATAACGGGAAAAAATGGGGGGAAATAACGGGAAAAATCGGGGGGAAATGGGGAAAAACCGGGGGGGAGTGGGGGAAAATGGGAAATAACGGGAAAAACCGGGGGGAAAAAAAGGGAAATAATGGGAAATAACGGGGAAAACCGGGGGGGAAATGGGGAAAAAATGGGGGAAAATGGGAAAAATAAGAAAAAATATGGGGGAAAATGAGAAAAAAAATGGGAAAAGTGGGAAAAAAGTGGGGAAAACATGGGGAAAAATTAACAAAAAAAGGGGAAAAATATGGGGAAAATGGGAAAAGCCAGGAAAACGTGGTGGGAACTGGTTTGAACTGGTGTGAACTGGTTTGAATTGGTTTGAATTGGTTTGAACTGGTTTGAACTGGTTTAAGTGGTTTGAGTGGTGTGAACTGGTTTGAGTGGTGTGAACTGGTTTGAACTGGTGTGAACTGGTTTAAGTGGTTTGAATTGGTTTGAACTGGTTTGAACTGGTTTGAACTGGTTTGAGTGGTGTGAACTGGTTTGAACTGGTGTGAACCGGTTTAAGTGGTTTGAACTGGTGTGAACTGGTTTGATGGGTTTAACTGGTTTGAAGTGGTTTAACTGGTCTGAACTGGTCTGACTGGTGTGAACTGGTTTGACCCGTTTGAACTGGCTTGAACTGGTTTGAACTGGTGTGCACTGGTTTGACTGGTTTGAACTGGGTGAACCGGTGTGAACTGATTTGAACTGGTTTGAACTGGTTTAATCAGTGTGAACTGGTTTGAACTGGTGTGAACTGGTTTTGACTGGTTTGAACTGGTTTGACTGGTTTGAGTGGTTTGAACTGGTGTGCACCGGTTTGAACTGGTTTGAACTGGTTTAATCAGTGTGAACTGGTTTGAACTGGTGTGCACCGGTTTGAACTGGTTTGAACTGGTTTGACTGGTGTGCAGTGGTTTGACTGGTTTAACCGGTGTGACCTGGTTTAACCAGTGTGAACTGGTGTGAACTGGTTTGAACTGGTGTGCACTGGTTTAATCGGTGTGCACTGGTTTAATCGGTGTGCACCGGTTTAACTGGTCTGAACTGGTGTGAGCCGGTTTTAACCGGTTTAACTGGTCTGAACTGGTTTAACCGGTGTGACCTGGTTTGAACTGGTCTGAGCTGGTTTGAACCGGTTTTGCCGGTGTGCACTGGTGTGAACTGGTTTGAACCGGTTTAACTGGTCTGAACTGGTGTGAGCCGGTTTGAACCGGTTTAACTGGTGTGCACTGGTGTGAGCCGGTTTGAACTGGTACCGGTGTGCACTGGTTTAATCGGTGTGCACCGGTTTGAACCGGTTTAACTGGTCTGAACTGGTTTGAGCCAGTTTGAACCGGTTTAACTGGTCTGAACTGGTTTAACCGGTGTGACCTGGTTTGAACTGGTGTGAACTGGTTTTGACTGGTTTGAACTGGTTTAACCGGTGTGCACCGGTTTAACTGGTTTGAACTGGTCTGCCCGGTGTGCACCGGTTTGAACCGGTTTAACTGGTGTGCGCTGGTTTGAGCCGGTTTGAACCGGTTTAACTGGTCTGAACTGGTGTGAGCCGGTTTGAACCGGTTTAACTGGTGTGCACTGGTGTGAGCCGGTTTGAACTGGTTTAACTGGTCTGAACTGGTGTGAGCTGGTTTGAGCCAGTTTAACTGGTCTGAACTGGTGTGAGCCGGTTTGAACTGGTTTGAACTGGTTTGACTGGTGTGCCGCAGCTGGGCCGCTGGCTGCCCGTGGGCCGCCTCAAGTACTACTTTGCGGTGGACACGCTGTACGTGGGCAGGAAACTGCGGCTGCTCGTCTTCCCCTTCGGCCACCCGGTACCGGCACTGGGGCACTGGGGGCACTGGGGGGGACTGG